ATACATAAACACTATACATAAATGCTGTACAGTTTATACATAAGTGCTATGAATAAGTGCTAGACATAAGTACAATACATAAACACTATACATAAATGCTGTACAGTTTATACATAAGTGCTATGAATAAGTGCTAGACATAAGTACAATACATAAACACTATACATAAATGCTGTACAGTTTATACATAAGTGCTATGAATAAGTGCTAGACATAAGTACAATACATAAACACTATACATAAATGCTGTACAGTTTATACATAAGTGCTATGAATAAGTGCTAGACATAAGTACAATACATAAACACTATACATAAATGCTGTACATAAGTGCTGGACATAATAAGTTCTATACATAAACACTTTACATAAATGCTGTACACAAATAAGTACTATACATAAACACTATACATAATTGCTTAACATAAGTGCCAGACATAAGTACTGTTCATATATGCTTTACATAAGTGCTTACATTGGGGCCACCATGGTGTAGTGGCTAGACACCTGCCTGCAGATTAGAAGGTTATGAGTTCAGGTCCTGATGGTCCTCATGTAGTATGCTCTTTCTGCTAGCTAATTGTGTTTCATTCTGACCAGATAACCAACCATTTTATTCTTTGAATTTCTATGAGATCATTTACTGTTACTGTACCTACCATTGTTCTTAGTTCTTTGTTAATGACTCTGTGTTTGTACAAAACCATTTTGTAAATCTGATTTTTAAATGAAATCAATACTTCCAGGGATGTGGGAAGAGTGTTGTGGTTAGACACTTTGCTGACATGCTAGGATATCATGTGGAGCCAATAATGCTGTACCAGGTATCCAGTTTATTTATTCTCGGTGTTATTGTTAACATTAACTCATATCACTTTTATAAAATGACCTTAATTGAATGGGCTCTAAAACTAAGAATTCAGTTACTCAGTACTATTGTAATGAATGCGGCATCCGTGACTTAGGTGTTGCGAGTCCGACTCGTAATTCCAACATACCGCGATCGAAACCCACTGCTGGCTGCGTGGATTTTTATCATAGCATGGGGCGTGTCAGGTCGACCCAGCCTAAAATGGGTACCAGGATGGATGTCCTGGGGAAGTAAAGACGTCTGGCGTAATGCTGACCACATTACCCACCTAGTGCCGATTGGTCTATAAAATTATGGGATACTCTTCCCATATGCCTGATGCACCTAAGTCTTGAAAAGGGATATTTACTTTTTTTTTTACTTTACTGTAATGAATAAAAGGACCTGAGTTGTTTTGGTATTCGACCATCAAAATAAACATAATATCTTTGGACAACTTGTTGGTGGAGGGTTTCTTTCTGTGGCTGGACATGCCACTTAACTGATGTTCTAGTTTCCACCTTCTGCTTGATAAGCCACCACTGATCTACACATACAGGATTCAGCGTTGCTCTGTCTAGGTTCTGTTTGGGCCCACAAACACTCTGTTCTTGCTTTCCTTGTTTAAAACATTAGTATAAACACAGCAAATGAAAAACACGCCCATCGGCAAGTATTGATTCTATTTGCCGATCCAAAAACTGTACTCTCCGGTCACTGTTCTATGTTCTCATTAATAATACAAAAGCCCAATCACGAATACTGCTCTCAGGAGACCTCCTCACATTGTCATGCAACCTTCATTCATCGCACTCATCCCTCCGCAATCGACCTCTTGCATTCATGTCCAAAAACCAACTGATTCTATATCTGTTCTCACCTTCAAGTGTTCGTTCCAATCTCATGCTTTCCGCTTACAACAGTTCAGACCACACGAGATACACTAAACACACCTTTTACCTGTGTTTCTCGTTGCCTCTGGTCTTCTGACCTTCTACATCATCGGTGACACTAACCAGGGTTCCCTGGGAATTCCCATCATCACAGGGATGTTGACTCTTCAAGATCAGACTTGACAGTCAAGACATCTACCTGGAACCCTGGCAGGGATTCAGTATGATCATCTAAAATGTCTTCAGATTACCTTTGACTTAGCTGACTGCTGGCTGGCATGCTATGGTCAGGAGGTTTTACCCCACAACTTCCTGCTCAAGCAGCCAGAACAGAAGTCATTGCAATATGAGCTCTCCTGTTTTGACAATAAAAGAAGTTCAGCACTTACCTTTTGGCAGACTCTTTTGTGTCTCTCTGCTACCATTTATCGCAGTATTGGTACTTTTATTAAAGACAAATTTAATAGACTCAACATTATTACTGTCTATTAAATAAAGCATGCGACATTGTCTCAAGCACCTCATGACACAACCTCTGTCAACAAAACAGACACTACAAGCTCCCAACGGTGATTTGTTGAGGTACATATGGCCATGTCACAGAGTTTTGGGATATATCCTAGAGTTGTCTGCTCCACAGTTTCTCCAGGCCATCTGGCTGTCAAATATCCTCTCTCTTTGTCTTCCCTTGCCTCTTTCCCCCTCTAGTATTGCAGTTTTTCCTCCTTCTCATGATTGCTCAAAGAATGTGGATTGTTTTCTTCTAGTGCGAGTACAGTAAAACCTCATTAACACGAACTCGCTTAAGAAGACCGCTTTGTTTAACAAACAAATGTTGGTCCCAGCAGGGGTCTACGTGTATTGTTATTAGTCCCTGGCGAGCACAGCATTCTTAAAACACAAACTAAGTTTTCGCCCCTTAGAATTTGTGTTAACAAGATTTTACTGTATTTAGTTTTCTTTGTCAGTTAATTTCTTTTAGGTTGTTTCCACTATCAGTCCATGATGTTCATATCTCTGCAGCTTCTACACAATTTCTCATTAATCTGCTGTCCATGATTTACCCCCATATACCAGTAATGGCTCTGTGTAGCTCCCTGGTTGCACTACTTTCCTGTTTTGAAATATCTCAGATATCTAAGTGTATAGGAACTGTGGTTGCATTGTGGTTAGACATCCACCTGCCGACCCAAAGGTCTTGAGTTCAAATCTGCATCAAAGTGAATTTGTTTCCAAATTTGCCTAAGCTCAAAATCAGCTCAGCCTAAAATGGGTACCAAGAAATGTCTTGGGAAGTAAAGGTGGCCGGCAAGATGTTGACCACATCATCCAACAAGTTCCAATTGATCTGTAAAAATATAAGTCTAGCATCATATGCCCAGTGTATCACTGACATAAAAGGGTCTTTGACATTACTTCTCCTACTGTCCTAATTTATTTGCTTTTTTGAAAATACCAGGTTTCTCTTGAACATTTATGCATTCTTGTATTTTCTAGAAGTTGACATGCATACATTAGTTTTGAAATCACATGAATAAGTTTTTACTCTCATAAGCCAATTTTTTTAAATTGTTGATTTTATATGCATTCTTGATTTTGTTTTCTCAGATATTGACCAACATTCATTAATGGTCTTAGAATCACATGATCCAATCATTGCTTATTTTCTTAAATTCAGGATATGACATCCAGAGATTTACTACAGCAAAGAAGTACCCTGCCCAATGGAGACACAGTGTGGCGACCATCACCTCTGGTCACTGCAGCACTGGAAGGAAGCTTAGCAGTTCTGGATGGAGTGCACAGAGTCAATGCTGGCTCATTTTCTGTGTTACACAGGTCATTGTTATTTGATTGTGACATTGTTGATGTTGAATTTCACAACAGTGTAAAAGCTACCTGCGATAGATATTTCAAAGAAATATCATTAACATTTCCTTAAAAAAAAAATATGAAACCTACCTGTGATAGAAATATAGACAGTATATCTTTTTGCTGGTTCTTCATGAGATCTGCCATAGCTTTGTGGCTTAAATGCTCGCCTGCTAGCCTGAAGACCTTGGGTTTGAATCCACAAGATTTTTTTCCCCTTCAAAATTGACCTTGACCCCTAGGTTATTCCTGCCTAAAATGGGTACCAGTTACTGTCTTGGGAAGTAGTTTGGCAGCATGAAGTTGACCATATCAGCTATAAAGTGCCGATTAGTCTACACAAATATTAGTTTAGCCTATAAGCCATATGAGTCACTGGCACAGAAAGGGTCCTTTACTTTACCATTACTTTCTTATTCTTCATGAATGGTAATCCAAATCTTTAAATTGAATAATTTCATTACTTTAACACTGCTGCACCAAAATTCCTCATACATGTCAGTTCTGGATGAGTCCAGTCCCCCTCGTATATGTCGCTTTACCAACATTACTATAGTGGCATGTTCCTGAGGAGCCTAGCTAACTTGTCTGCACCCGCAGCAAATGTTTAGGATCACCAGGAATGGTTATATTTGCTCTAAATAGAATTGATGCAGAGTTTTAGTGTTGGAAAAAATGACTTTTCTAAAATAAAAAATTATTAGAATTAACTAATATTAGTCCTAGTGATGGTCCTGCCACAAGGTCATGTAGTCAAGAATGAGTCATGATATCAATTGTTTTAGGCTTAAAGAGATGTAACCCAGTTAATTGTCTGCTACATTTGTGTTTACCAATTACTTGTCTTATTCTGTATGGAATTTGATCTTCTGTAAATAGAATAGTTAAGATCGTGTGTGTAGCCTATTTAACATTAAAAAAAAAAATTTCTTTTGCCCTCAGAAGCCATCGAACCACACTTCCGCTCGGTACATCAAAGCTGCTTTCCCAACTCACTATAGAGAAATGTTAGCGAGACCTGTAGCTAACAGAATTCATTGTTTCTGCATCATCCCAAACGTTTATCGTGACAGGGGATAACTAAAGTTACCCCCCCCCCCCCCCCCAAAAAAAAGAATTTAGAGGGGTTCCTTGTTTAAAAAAAGGGGGTGGTTTATTTATAGAAATTCCTTTTTTTATTTTTTCTTATTGGCTTCAGTGGTTACCAAGCAGCTGTGTGACAGGATCACATGTGTCACACTGTAATTAGTTTACAGGCTCCAAAATATGTGAGCCAGTTAATTCTTTGCTGCATTTGTTTTCTCTGAATACTTCCCTTAGTCTGTATAGAATTTGTTTGTGTTTTGGATGATTAATTGAATTTTTTTTTCAATCCACCCCCACAGATTGGTGAATGAGAGGGAACTGCAACTGTTTGATGGTACAAGACTAGTGGGCAGGGACAGGTATGAAAACATTAAAGAGGAGACAGGACTGTCAGATAAAGATTTGGAGAGCAGGTACGTTGTTGCTAACTTTGCCTACATTGTAGAAAAGTCATTGTGATGCAAAGTGAATGTAGAATTCTTCTGATACTTTAAAAAGAAAAATTAACTGGAAGACATTGCTCACTTGTATGACGCCATGAACTCCCACTGCTGTACTCATAACACACTATTCCCGTCCCATTATGGGACTCAATTTTTCATTATTTTAAAGCCCCACCCCGGCTGTAGTCAGGGGCCCTAATATAACCTAATGGTTGAACGGGGTTTCTGGGACTTGTGTCATCGAGTATTGGTTGCTCGTTGTGTGGTCCTTGTGGGGTTGAATGACACACAATTCTTTACTGTTCATTGTAGGTAATTTCATGTTTTTCTTATGTTATTCATCTCTGGCTTTAATTCTTAAAGCTTTCATTATTTCCTTTTTGTGTGTGGATACCAGTGAAATTACTTTATACGTATGTCATTTAAAGATATTCTCTACCTTTGTCATTTTTCATTCATTTCATTGTCCTATTTTGCCATTATATGTCACACAGGGCTCACAGTCTATTCCTCCATTCTGTTCTATCCTGTGCAGTCTCTTCAATATCTTGGGTGGAATCCAGTCCAGCAGCTTTGGCTTCCCTCATTTACTTTCTCCTTACTGTTTCTCTTGGAGAGCTTTGTTTACTCAATCTTCAGTTTCCCATTTCAGATCATGTTTGGAGATTTTGTTTTTATTTCATGTGAAGATGTGTCCAGTATATCTTCTCTGTCTTATAACTGATGATTCTAGTGGTTGCCCATACATCTCGCTTATTTCTTAACCCCTTTTGAATTCACCCCATTTTGTGTTCAACATTTGCCTCATTTATTCTGGAATGCATTTAACTTTTGTTCCTTGTTTCTGCAACTCTCACTGGCATATATTAAAATTGGAATAATTGTAGAATGAAAAATGTGTAACCTGATTCTAAACTGTTTAATTTAAAGTTCCATGTCTTGTTCAGATTTTGAAAAGCCTTGCTAATGGGTGTCATAATTTCTTTCTTTGTGTTACATTGACTATCAAGATTACTACTTAAAGCCAGCATATAAAACATCAGACTGTAAAACACTGTACTTTCACATAGGTTGTGGAAACAGCTCCTTGTGTCAAAAACATTAAGAAGGGTTTGGGTATCTTGTTAGAATGCAGCAACAACAGTTACCATTACTGATACTACACCTAAGAAATCTGAAACAGTAACAAGAGGAATTTGAAGAAGAAGGATTAATTAATGGCATTAGAAATTGTGCATCACAAAGAATGGCTGTAGCTTGTTCTGGACTACTATCTGTTCTTCCCCATGATACTTGACAGGAAAAGTAGAAGATGATGATGACTAATTTGTATGCAAGAAAATTATAGAATCCTGCGATATCTTAACAAACATGAGGTTAATTATTCTCTTTCCTTTCAGGAACATTCTCCCTATCCACCCTTCCTTCCGGATCATAGCTCTCTCAGAACCCCCAGTTGTTGGCAGCACAAAGCAGCAGTGGCTGACTCCAGAGATGTTGACAATGTTCTTGTACCATGGCATGAGACCTCTGTCCCGCTCAGAAGAGATGGATGTTATTTCCCGACTGGTATTTGATGTTTCTGTAACACTAATAATAATGCAAGAATTAACATCTTTCTTGTTTCCTCTAAGACATCGATGTGTAACTTTTTTGCTTTAAATGCAATTTGTATATTTATAACATATATCCAGTGATGATTCAAACATAGTTCAAAACATAATAAAATGATTTTGCAGGTCACAGTAGTTGCCATCTGTGGCTTAGATGTTTCAAACACGTTTTGTAATTCTTTGGTGCTAGGTTGATCTCAGCTTGCATTTGTTTTAACAGGGGTACTGAGAGCTGACCATTCAGTAAACAGTGGCAAACTACTGAATGTAAAATTGCCATGTGAAATCACAAACAGCCAAAACAATGCTAGGGTTGGTCCTGCAATGTCTTGTAAAGGACACACAACCAACTTCCAACATTCCTCACCTCTGTTCTAATATATGAAGAAAGACCAAAGACAACACTAATAGACAATATACTTTCTTTTTCTTCAGCATTTCAAGCCCTTGAAGTTCATTACTGCAGACATCACCCGCCTCCACTCATCTCTCTGGTTGGTCTTCTCTTTCCACTTGGTGACACCAAGTGTTTGCAGGTCTGTCTGGACATTATCTCTCAGACGTCTTCTTGATCTTATCTCTCAGATGTCTTCTTGATCTGCCTCGTGGTCTACGATCATTCATCTCCCTTGTGTATACAGTTTTCACTTCTCTGTCATCTGACATTCTCTCAGTATGCCCCAACCATTTTAGTCTATTAGCTCTCATGATGCCATTGATCAAGGATGATTTAAACATATTATGAATTTTGTTGCTGCTTCTCACTCTCCATTCCCCACTGTTTGCATCTTTGTTGAATCCACAGATTTATCATAAAACTGTTTTCGAAAACCTGTAATAAGGTCCAAAGACCTTTCTCTTGACAATGTTTGACAAGGTTTTATTATTACTGCATTATTATTCTTACGTCCTGTAATAAGACAAAACACCTAGCAAGAGAAAATGTATACCAAAAATAATTTCTATAAGGCATTTAGGTACAGATACATAAATGCAGATATACTTAAAATTTAAGAGAGCAGTACCAGACAGGCACCCGGGGAGCTGAAATATTTAATGTTGATTATGTTTCTTATGTTGTCTGCTAGGTTGACCCAACCTTAGATGGGTACTAGGTAATCTCCTGGAAAGTAAAGACTGCTGCTCCTCTTTGGTGCATGCTAAAAGTGAGGTGGCTATTTTTAAACTGTCATTATGAGACTGTTTGTCTGCACCATGATGTCACTAGCTGAACACTGTGACATCCTTAACAACAATACCGGTTGACAGGTAACAAGATAGTGGGATGGTTATTATGTCTATCATACTCTAAAGGTTTTCATTTGAAGTGCCTCACTTTTAACTATTTAACTCTACTTGTTACCATATCTAATGAAATCTTATGCATTCACTAGATCCTCTTCTTTTATAAATGTTTTAATTTCTCATGTTTCAGGTTCCTGGTGTACCAGACTTGAGCAGATTGTTTGATTTTGTACACAAACTCAGACATTCTACAGATGGCACGGTAAGGAATAAGTTATAATAATAAACATGGTCATCATCAGTATCCTGTTCTGCCATTATATGTCAGATAAGGCTTCTGGTCCTTTGCTCCATTCTCTTTAATCCTGTGCAAATAAACACGCAGGGAGTTTATGTACATCTTACAAAGGTCTTTGAAATTGCACCATGCTTCATGAAACTCATATTTCAAGCATCGGATGTTGTAGTTGTATTTTTGAGGAATTTAATTTATCTGTATCTTTTTCTTTTCCTTTGCACTCATTGGATGTAAATTCCAATGGAAAGTTATAGTTGTGTCCCAACTTAGAAAAGCTCTTGGTAAAATAAAGTCCCTATACAAGAGATAGTCATCTGAAAGTAGCTCTGAAGAAGTAGTGTAATGTCTAAAAGGATTGTCACAATAAGTATAAAAACTGAAACCTCATTCCTGGGACAGAGGACAAGAAAGTAAGTATTTTTCTTGGTGGCAAAATCTGTGCCACTGAATCAAATAAAATAGCTCCCAGAGAGAAAACAATATGCCCGCTTCTCACTCACTGAAACATACATCTCACTAGAAGATAAGTGAGCTCCTGGTACCCATTTTAGGATGGGTCAACCTGCAACTCACTATACCATGATAAAAATCCACACAGCCAGCAGTGGATTTCAATCGCGGTACCTTGGAATTACGAGTTGGATTCACAACGCTTAAGCCACAGACGCTGCTATAGGGCCAGTGGCAGTCTTAAAAAATTAAGAAGGGTCTGCAGATTAGCTAATTGGGAACCTCTGAATAAGACATATTTTACACGGAATTATAATTCTTTTTTTTTTTTTTTCAACTCTCTGCATTAGCTTCAGTCCCTAGCTTCAAGCCTGTCCACTCGCCAGCTGTTGAGAATTGCACGTCGACTGGCTAAGTTCCCAAGTGAGGATCTTCATGGCATTATACACAAAGCTTGTCTGTCTAGGTATGGGGTGTTGTGTCAGTTTAATTCTTATTCATGTGCAGGTCAGGGTGTGTTACATAAAGGTCACCTGATGAGGTAAAAATGTAATAGTAGGCATAACCTTCTACTTCTTTTTCTTCTCCTTCTTCTTCTTCTTTTTCTGCTGCTGCATATGCTTCTGCTGCTTGTTCTTCTTCTTCCTCTTCTTCTCCTCCTCCTCCACCTTCTCATTCTTCTTCTTCTTCTTCATCTTCTTCTTGAGCGTTTGCCCTTTAAAGAGTGGTTGAAACATTATGTTGAGGTTTAAGCAGGACTGCAATATCTATGTCTTTTGGCCTAGCACATCTAATAATAAACAGCAAACTGTTAATTAGTCACCTTTTATGATTTGTTTGTTAGGGGTAATATCTCTATAATTGTTCGCCCAAATATGGGGCCTTGGAACCCACATAAGGACTTGAAGGTTTTGTGTTTGAGCATTTCCATTATCTCATTCTGCACCAGATTTCTGCCAAAGCTTGCCCAATCAGCATTGAATCAGTCTCTGGAGGAATCACAAGTGCTGCCTCTCAAGATAACCCACCATCTTGATGATCATGATCATTCTGTTACCTGTAAGTTGTCTTTCAAAATAATACTTCTTCTATGTTTCAACTACCAGTGATGTATGACAAGCTAGATGTTGACCCTCTGGGAGCAAGTAAACAGTTATGTTATCACAATCAACATTACTGCACATTCGGCATTCCTATGTGCTCAGTCCTTCGATGCAGCAGCCACTCCCAAGTACTTCTACTAATTGTTCCCATGAGAAGCTGGTTATATTGTCTCCTATCTCGGCCTCAAAGATGGCACAGACGTGTTTGACCATACTTTACTCCCATGTCACTCAATCGTGTTAGTGTCAGGGATTCCTCATTATCCACTAGCCAAGTCCGTACAGCGTTGACGATATCTGCTCTGTCCATGCTTCTTCCCACACATGCCTTAGTGCAATGCTTGACAGTTGGTCCGCTCGCTCATTTCCCTTTTCGCCTGCATGACCAGGTGTGTAGATCCAGGTGAGGGAGGTTAAGCTCAATTTTCGAATGCTGGCAGTAAACAGTGCAGAGGCACAAATAAATCATCACAGTCTGAAGAGAACAGTACAGTAAGGTGGGAGCTATGGGATTTGCTCAGCATTCAGGGAATGGGTGAGACGGACACACATTCAGACTGTTACTGGTACCATTAGGATTTGAACTCTGCACTTGCTGATTTAGCAGCTGAAGATTTTAACAATACAAGAAGAGACAGGGTTACCAAAACCAGCATTAGATAGAAAGTTGGAATAAGACCATGTCTGGACTATATTGACATGAAATGGTTTGGCCATATAGTGAGACTGCAGCCAGACCAAACTGCATCTGAGACTTTTTTTTTTTACAGCAGAACATCTGGGAGGAGGCGAGAGGAAGATCAAGAAAGAAAGGATAAATTCTGTAGCAGAAACCTGCAAAGAGATGGACAAATCTATCACCCAAGCCACCCGAGAGGTGCAAGAAAATACAGAAAATCATGACACTGGGCAACAACCTGGCGAAGTGAGACGACAAAAGAAGAATAAAAAGAAGATTCTATGCTATCCGGAGTAACTAGAAGAGAATGAAAACTAAATAAATTAGAACATGACTCCCTGTGTGTGTTTTGGGTCTCTATTTGGGAGAAAGAGATTAGACCCCCACTCCCCACCCCCACCCCAACAAGCATGTCATAGGCGGCAACTAATTAGGGGTGTTACTTTCAAGGTGTATTTGCCTGATTGGGAAAAAAGCAACAATATGCATACAAATAAACCAGATCTGTAAAATGGATGTGCATGCAAAACTCAAGTTCTGGATCCCTACCAAAGTCCAGAAGTGGAAAAACAACTAGAAATTGTTGCCAGCATTAACAGCTGGTGAATGCAAAGAAAAAAAGAAGACAATAACCAGGACCTGAAACTATGATACAGTTTTCATCTGACAGGAATGACCTTGTACAAACTATCACAGTCATTTTAAAGAAATGTAATGAGTACCAGAGGTAGGTAGGTAGTCCAAGTAAAACTCTAAGATGAAAGTGGTCAAGAGAGATTAAAGGTGCCGGACTGGATTCCATCCATGATATGATCAAAAAAGAATGCACAATTGAAGAGGATGGAGGCCTAGACTACAAGTTTTATGTGACATGTAATGGCACGACAGGATGATAATAACAGTGACATGTAACGGCACGACAGGATGATAAAAACAGACAAGAAAAGACAGCAGTCTGTCTAAGGTAACCACAGGATAAGAAGAAGGAAAAGAAGAAGAATCATCAGTTCTAGTTCTTGGTATTTTAGAAATCATCTCATAGGAAGTATGTTTATAATACTTAATTATTATTTAAATTTTCTCAGATAAACTAGATGTGTGAGTAGAAAATAGTTGATTTTTTCTCTACAGCAATCAAGTGTACTAATAATTTCCCAGTTTCTTTAATTGTATTCTCTAGGTGAAGTAAAAGATGGGATTGTGAGAATTGGAGAAACTTCTGTCCCAGTATATAACCCAGAAAATAGAACAAAGGTGCCAGACATCTTGTTCTATGAAAATCCACAGGTAAGCTTAAGGAGTGCTTGCTTTCTGTAGCCATTTGACTACTGTTTTATTGCAAAGTTAAGTTATTTGGAAATAATCAAATTTCAAATTTAGAGCCAGCAACAACAACAACAACAAAATTGTATGCTTACTCTTTCAGCTGAGTGTTGACTGTTCAGATAAGAACTGAAAAACAGCATTCAAGACATTCCCATAAATGCTCTGTCCTAATCTTCAACAGCCCATCAAAGATTTCCAGTTGCGATGGTGCTAGTGCCATCTTGCCTTTCCTCTGAGTGAAAAATGTCAACCAGATCCTTTGATCATGCCTGGCTGCAACATTCTCTACAGACCGTAATGATCTATTCATGCCTCAACACTGTTCACTTTCTCCCAGGCCCTTGACCATATCTAGCTTGTCATGTGAACAAATTTGCCACCCATTGGTGCAAAATCAGCCAGTCTGTCTGTATGTTCATTTCCCAACACACTTGCTTGACACATAGAAAACATCTTTAAGTAGCAAGCAACTCACCATTTATTTATTGATTACTCTGTAAATGGTTTATTTTACCTAATCTCTTCTGTCCCATTATTCTGTCACATTTATTCTTTCTATTATAACTGGCCTGTAACGATGGGATTTCCCAAAAGGTTCCCAATATGATGTAAGAGGATCAAGGGGAAGTCAAGTGAGTAGAACCCAAGCGCTAAATATTCGCAAATTCCGTGTTTAAGTAAACTGTTGAAATGTGACCACTCATAGAAATGGGAGGAAGGTTTGAAGGTGAGAGGGAGATCGAATTGGTTTGTGTTTGACCGTAGGAGAGGAAGGTTGCCTGCATCGAGTGACTGATGAACCTGTGATTGTTCAAGAACAGAATGAGGACAGAGAACGCACTGCAGTGGCAGAAATTGAATTATTCTGATTTGTATCTTTGAGCGATTGTGAATCTTCATGGCACCTTGATTCAGATGCAGTATCTCAGCATAGGTGAAGTGTATGGACCGAAAGGTATCTGAATGTTATTATTCAGTTGTGTGCCAGCTGTGACAGTGTTTATTTGGAAGTCTGAATACGATGAGTGAGAACACCAGACAATGACCGGACGACACCTTGATTGTACAAAAATAAACTGTAATTACAGAACACTGAGGTGTTGTCTATATATTTGTCCATCTGTTCATACTAACTTTCAATCAGGACAGATTGGAGAATGATATAGAAACCAGCATCATTGCATCACACTGTCCTATACCTCTGAAATTATAGTTTACCGAGACTCATTGACTACTGCTCAACAGTGCATAAACTCTATGCTAGAAAGTGTTAGCATGACAACTGGCATGTCAACAGATGTCATATATAAACTTGTTTTGAAGTTACGTGGAATTTCAGTAGCAATGGGTGTATGATGTTTTCTCAAAAGATTTTCAGAAGGGAAGATCTAGGAGTCCTCGTACTGCAACAGTTCCTGCTTCCTTGGATGTGATCTTTCCCCATGTGGGTTCTGGGGCCTCATTTTGGGGGGAACAAGAATAGACCCACTTCCTCCCTTACAAACATTTTGTAAAAGGAGGCTTATTCTGGATTTTTCCTCCGGGGTCAGAGTGCATCTGCCTAAGAGACAAGGAATCAACAGCAATCTGCGTACAAGTAAACCAAATCTGTAAAATGGATATGCATGCAAAATTCAAGTTCTGAAGCAAGACTCAAATACAGAGGTGGATGAACAACTGGAACTTTCTGTCAGAGTTTACAGCTAGTGGACAGTGAGAAGAAGAAGAAGGATATGGTGTTTGAACAGTTTACACAGTCACCACAGAAGTCAAATAAGGCCGAGTTGCTGGGAAGGCTAACCCGTTCAAGAAATGCCTGCAGAGGTCAGATGTATCAGCCAAAACCTGCAAATATCAGAAGTTTGTAAATGGGCACAACACATTTAAGTGTTTAGATAAATGCAGAAGAAGAAGAAGAAGAAGTCAGGAATTGATACTTTGTGTGTGCATACAGGTCAGCCTATCCTATTAAAAATGGCACTAGGAGATGTTCTGAGAAGAAAATATGGCTGGCTACCTCTCACCATTGAGTGCCAGTTGAATTATAGAAATAGCTAGTACCATATGTTTAACATGCTCCTAGATGTGGAAATAGGGCATTTACTAAGATATTACCTCCCCAGGGACTCCAGGACCCCTTTTTTGGGTGGAAAGGGGGAGGGGGGATAGACCAGCTGCTTCCCTACCACATACTACAAGGTGACTAAATAGCGGTTTGCTGAAATTGGATATGTTGGACCGAAAGGTGCAGATATCCAACCTAGCTGTAAACTGCAACTAGGAATGAAAAGAAAGTTGCTGAAATCAATAACAAAAAAGAAAAAAAAAACAGTGAAATAATTTAGCCAGTTAATAAAAGACATAACATTCTTATAAAAACTATACTGGAGGAAAAAGTTGAAGGTAGGCGGAAGTATAATATTATAAGATGTATGGCCAGTAGTCTAAGAGTGTTTACTACAAGGGCTGCAGACTGTCAAAGTTGTAGATCCATTGCAGCCAGCCTTCATTATGGAGACAGCACTTGACTTGACTGAAACATGTATTATTTCTGTTTTATTTCTGTGTTCCTTTGTTGTAATAATGCAGTTACTTTCATTAGAAAATAAACTCCCTGTGTGGGTTTTGGAGCTTTATTTTAAGGTTTAAAAAAAAAAAAAAAAAGAATAAACCCACTGCCTCCTAACAAACATGGCATAAATTAATAGGCAATTAATTAAGGTTTTGCTGAAACTGGATGTGTCTTACTGTAGGGTGCAGATATTGCAGCCTAGTTGTTGTTATCGATCCAGCGGCACATGAGCTTTCGCCCTTTGGCCCAATGCCATGTAGTGGAATTTGCATGTTTTCACAAGCTGTTCTTTTCCTCCGTACAAGGTGTTCCACTTGTCTGATCTCGGAGGGAGTAGCGTTCTTCTTGTCTCACTGAGTTTTGGGGACTCAAAGAATGGTGTTCAACAGTTTTGTAGGAGTAGTTACATAGCTGGCACTCTGGGGAGTGTTGTGGCTGTATTCTGTTTAGATGTCCATTGAGTGGAGTATGTTGCGTTCTAAGTCTGAAGATGGTGGCCTGGTCCCTTCTTGTTAGATGGTTAATGCTGTCATTGGGATTAGGGCCAGCCGTATGTCTATAAACCTCTCTTCCAGTTATCTCCCGTGGCCATCTGTTTAGCTAAGTCTCTTTGTTTATTGCTCTTATAAGTGTTTTTGCTGTCTGTTGGGTTGTCGCTGTTGGTGGTTGTTCTTGTGTTGCTCCTTTCTTTGCCAATCTGTCAGCTCTGTCATTACCTGGTGTGCCGGAGTGGCCTGAATCCACTGCATCACTATTCTGATGTTGTATGAGGTAATAAGCTGATCACAGCCTAGTTGTAAACCAAAGTATGTGTCAATATAATTTTTTATAGAGTAAATGCAGAAGAAAAAGAAACAAAAATCTGTAATTATAATAGAACCATGTTGGTATTTTTTAGCACTTAACAGTAATGGAAGACATGCTAAAGGACTTCATCCTTGGAGAGCACTTGTTGCTGGTTGGGAATCAAGGCGTTGGCAAAAATAAAATTGTGGACCGCTTCTTGCAGTTGCTCAACAGACCAAGGGAGTACATACAGCTACACAGGTGGGTGGTCAAAAGTTTGTGTAATGACTAGCTACTTGTGTATTAAGGTGGTCTCATTAATACGTAAACGCATGTAGCTTGTTTATTGAGTTCAAAAAGAATTAGTCATCTGTGACTGACTGTCCTATCCAGTAGAATATTCAGTGACAAAATCTATCCTTTTATGAACAAGTCTTTAGTAGTTATTTGTCTTTACTTCATGGGGAGGAGATAGGGTTGTCTATATATTTTAAAGGTTAAAGGTTAAAGCAAGAGGATCAGCGTAATTGCACCAGGTTTTGTCCCTTTTGGCTCGGTCTCTCTCAGCAGAACCACTAACTTGCTAAGTGTAGTGAAACACACTGATCTCTAAGAGAAGTAGGGAAGTAGAAGATAACATTGTAAAGGGGCGAGTGTATTGTTTGATATCATCAAAAATGGCTGATTACGAATGACTGTCCCATTCTCTATAAATTCAGGACAAAATCGAACCATTTACTTCAAATGAACAGTTTTTGAATGATTGGTTGAGTGTCTGTGTTCTGTAAGGTGCAAAACAGATAGAAAAATCGGAGGAGGGAGAACAACAAGAGGACTGAGGAGGAAGAAGTAGGATAGTAGAAAAAAGAAATAAAATGATAAGTAAAGGGTGAATAAGAAAAATCTGAAGTATGAGGCAGTGTTGAATACCTTGAAAAAAGGGATAATGAAAAATCAGAATGTAAATTAGAATGAGAATATTGCAGAAAGCGAAGGAGGGCAAGAGGAAAAAAAAGAATGCTGTTTTGAGGGGTTGGTACACCCTTCTTGTTGTTTCTTACACATACACATCTGCACATATGGAGCTATGGTGGTATAGTTGTTAGTGTGCTTAACCTGCCAAGATAATGGTCAGCGTTCAATCTCCAGCAGGAGCTGAATTAGTTTCCCGACCAGTATGACTCCGGGGTCAACCAAGTTTCATAAAAGTTTTCTGAGAATTGACTGCCAAAGAAAGGCAGTGACAAAAGCACCTGTCACCTTATCTTGTCTGTCGCAGCCTAGACCTATCATTTCACATCTTAGCAGCAGTAACTACTATGGGAGAACTTGTTAGGTGTCCATATGCATGCTGTCACACAACAATAAGATTTGTCTTTTCACACATAAAGTATACATAGACAATTTCTTCTTCTTCTTCTTCTTCTTCTTCTTCTTCTTCTTCTTCTTCTTCTTCTTCTTCTTCTTCTTCTTCAGCATTCCGAGCCCGTGAGATTCATTGCTGCAGATATCACCCGCCTCCATTCATCTCTCTGGTTGGCCTTGTCTTTCCTGTTGGTGACACCAAGTGTTTGCAGTCTGATGGACATTATTTCTCCATCGTCTTCTTGGTTTGCCTCGTGGTCTACGACCATTCATCTCCCTTGTGCATACAGTTTTCACTTCTCTGTCATCTGACATTCTCTCACTATGCCCCAACCATTTCAGTCTATTAGCTCTCATGATGCCAGTTATCAATGGTCATTTAAATAGATGATGAATTTTGTTGTTGCTTCTCACTCTCTGTTCCCTGCTGTTTGCATCTTTGATGGGTCCAAAGATTCGTCGTTAGACTCTGTTTTCGAAAACCTGTTAAAAGGTTTCATCTCTTTTAGTTGTGCTCCAAGTTTCAGAGCCATATAAAACGACAGGTCTTATCAACGTTTTATATATTTTTATCTTGGTGTTGCGAGACAGACACTTTGACTTTAGCAGATGTTGAAGGGCATAGTTTACTTTATTTCCAGATTGTATTCTATATTCTGTGTACGTAGACAAGCTAAAGACTTTTATCTACGGCATGATTTCTCAGTCAAACTGTTTGATCTGCAGAGACACAACAGTTCAGACACTGACCCTACAGCCAACTGTGAGAGAGGGAATCATCATGTATGAGGATTCTCCACTGGTATGTTAAGCTTGGTAATCTTGGTAATCTTAGTTTCAGCTTCATAGCAAATGGGTCACCCCATAGTTGCTTCCCTCCTGTGCCAACGAAAAACACACAGAATGTTCATCACAGTCCTTTGTGGAAAGATCGACAGACTGCTGTCTCAGCATATGCGCTAGCATACATACACATTTAAAGCATACCATAGCCATCAGAAGTGCAGCACAGACACTCTGACATTTGAAATGCAGTTCATCATCGACGGTAGCAGAAGTTACCAACAGATCAGCAGTTGCACATACGATCAATATTAATCATATAAGGGCACCATCAATAATGCGGTGACATACCACGCGCCATTTTCTGAATCTACAGTTCACAACACCCCATTGGTCACAGTCGAAAAACATTGCAAATGCGCAGCTCACAGGGTCGCACCATGCACTCAACTCAGTAGCTGAGTGAGAACTCCAGACAATGACATAGAAGACACCTTGATTGTACAACAATATACTGTAATTACAGAACACTGAGGTGTTGTCCATATATCTGTCCGTCTGTTCATACTAACTTTCAATCAGGACAGATTGGAGACTGATATAGAAACCAGCATCATTGCATCACCCTGTCCTATACCTCTGAAATTATAGTTCACCGAGACTCATTGACTACTGCTCAACAGTGCATAAACTCTATGCTAGAAAGTGTTAGCATGACAACTTGCAGATACTGACAGTTTCGCGAGGAAACTATATCCTTTAGGTCTACAAATGGATCAAAAATGCAACTGCCACCGTCTGGCAGAAGCAAAAAAATTTTCCTTGACATGAAACAGTGACCGTGCCTGGTGTCCATTTTGAACGGAAGCCCATGTAAGGCTTGTTCCGGGGAGGGGGGGGGGGGGGGGGGGGGGTCTCTTTTCTTTGTGTTTGCCATGTGCTGTGGAGGTCAAGGGTTGGTTTTTAACTATTTCCTTTGGTTTGTGCTTACAGGTATTTCAAAGATACTTGAGGGTCTTCAGTGGAGCTACAGAGTTTCATGCTTTGTGTGATGCTCTGTAGAGACCTGTATGGGATTAAACTCAATGCAGTGAAGTCTGCTCTCTCATATTTAAACTCCCTTCTTCTCCACTTGGGTTCCGGGCCCAATTGTGGAGAAAAAGAGCGATTAATAAGGGCTGTTTCCTCTGAAGTTGGAGTGTATCTGCCAGAGAGGCAAGGAACCAACAGTCTGCATACAATAAGCCAGAAGTGTAAAACAGATGAACATGCAAAATTGAAGTACTGGAACAAAGCCAAAAGTGGACTAGCAACAATGACTTTTTGTAATAGTTTATAGCCAGTGAAGACAAACAAACAAACAAACAAATAACAAACAAACAAATAACAAACAAACAACCTCCCTTCATAATTTATTTTTCTACTTGCTTTCTTCAACTGTTATTTTGTTTTTCTAATTCCATTTACTTTCTCTTCTCCAGATTTTCTGTGAACTCTGACCCTAATCACAATTATGGGTTCAGATCACTAGTTGTTGTTGAGACAAGAATATAATCACTTACATTGACATTGGTTATAGCAGTAGTGAGAGTAAAGCAGCTATTGAAGTTCAGTCAACCAGTCACATGCTCATCATATTCACATCATATTTGTGATATATACACCTAAAAGCAATATCTTTAATGGCAATAGAGATAATATGTGCAATTCAGTTGCACCATCCCCCAAAAGGGAGTAGACTCACTGCCTTCCTAACAAGCATGTTGTCAGAGTCGACTTATTAGGAATAAGAGTACATCCCCCTGAGAGGCAAGGAACAACAGTTTGTATACAAATTTGCCAGATCTGTAAAATGGTAGTGCAAGCAAAACTCAAATGGACGACAACCAGAACTTTCGGCTAGTGTTTACAGCAGGTGAATGCAAAGAAGAAAAGAAGAAGAAGAAGAAGAAATTGCAATATTAATGTGCTGTTATTGAATAGTTGTGTAATCTTTAAACTTGAGCATACTTTGGATCTTTGTATGCTCAAGTAAGATTACTTTTGGATCTTTTCTCCAGGCAATGCTGGCATAGTGGGTAATGAACAGACAGGCAGATTGGCTGGATCTACACCACTGGGTGGTGAATTGATACATGACAAGGCAGATGTAGTCAAGGCCCTTTGGGAACATTCAACGGAATCAGTAGAGAAGCAAGATTATTATGGCCTGGAGAGAATGAGGTACCTGGGTATAACCAGAGGGTCTGGCCGGCTCACTACACTTAGAGGAAAGGCAAGATGGACATATAACCAGACTGTGACCGGTACCATTAGTATTGGAACTCTGGGTTGGCTGCTGAAGATGAGGATGGAGCACACATGGGAGTGCCCCGAGTTCTGTGATGTCAATTTTCTCGAGTCAGCTCTGTTCAGCTCTTGAAACTGGAAAGAATCGAGGGATTTAGCTGTTGACATTACTCATTACCACAGTCTGTAGGCTCATCGGTCCACCTGCAACTGGGATAGAACTGAACTAATCATGAACAGGTCTGCAAAGGGCTTAACCTGAGTTGGTTAAGGGACTGTGTTCTGTTCAGAGATGAAAAGCAGAGGAAAGAGGTTACTTTCATGTAAACCCACATGTACTTACATCACAGGTTGTGGCAGTCAAGCTGGGACATGTTCTTGTTGTGGATGAAGCCGACAAGGCACCCACCAATGTCACCTGTGTTCTCAAAACTTTGGTTGAATCTGGAGAAATGCATCTGGCAGACGGGCGAAGAATTGTTGCAGGCAAGTCATTCATTTTTACCATTGCACTTTGTAGTTTTGCTTGTAAGTTTCATTTGTTGGTTTATAATGTTATTTAATTGCAGATGTTGGCATTATGGATAGTAGTTTTGTTTGTAAGTTTCATTTGTTGGTTTATAATATTATTTAATTGCAGATGTTGGCATTATGGATAGTAGTTTTGTTTGTAAGTTTCATTTGTTGCTTTATAATGTTATTTAATTGCAAATTTTGGCATTATGGATAGTAGTTTTGTTTCTAACACAATTTCATTCAAATGTTGGTTTATAATGCTGTTGTTTAGATGCTTGTCTGGACATCATACTTTGTTGTTTTGCTTATAGCTTGTTTTGTTATATTGGTTTATTATCTTGTTATTTGTATCTCAGGTCTTTTATTGAATCAGATTATTTAATTCTAAGATTAATAAGATATTTTCTTAACTTATCATGCCATCATAAATCTTAACATTTAACTGCTCATAAACTTATGCTTGTGAAATTAATGGGTTGATTTTTTCTTGACCCACAAATTCAAAGAGGCACCATAAAGAAAGATTAGAAGTTATTTTTTGGAAAACTAGCTCATCCTTATTTATCCTCACTACTTTGTGCCTTTTAGGCTATATTTTTGGGTAAAGTAGCTGATCCTTATCCTCACACTTGGTTTAGCTTAGGCTATTTTGGGTAAAGTAGTGCTTTCCTATCCTCACTACTTAATGCAGCTTAGGCTATTTTTTTTGTGTGGCTTTGTTTAAGTAAAGTAGCTCTTTCTTATCCTCATAACTGTATGTGACTTGGGCTGTATTTTGGGTAAAGTAGCTATTTCTTATCCTCGCCTAATAACAGAAAGTAAACAAAAACACAGAGAAAAGTTAATTTTTGAAAAAGACATAAATTAACTAAAATGTAAATTAAATAGGTAATAGAAGCCATAATTTATTAATTAAACATTTATTTAATCTTATGTAACTGTGACAAGCAGGAAGAGATTTAAGAATTATGGGTGTATCCCTGGGCAGTAAAACTGGTCCTTTGCACAAATTAAACCATAAAAGTAAGCACATATGTCCGTATATGGCTATATATTTCACTGTTTACTTGCAGCAAACTCTGGAATCCATCCCAATGAGACTGTCATAGTTGCTCATCCAGATTTCAGAATGATTGTACTTGCAAACCGACCAGGCTTTCCCTTTTTGGGAAATGACTTTTTTGGTGCTATGGGTAAGCACACTATGCTTCAGAAGACTTCATTCTTTTGGTAATATGATCATAAAACAACATTGCAGATGAAAGTATTTCATTTGATTTAAATGCACTGCCACTCAATCCTTGCCATAACATAATTGTGGCTTATTAGCAGTAATCTTACATACATTTTGAAGATGAGTGAAAAATTATTTGAATGTGGTGGAGATGTGGTTTTATGGTTTTCTAGATTAAGGATGAGAATACCCTGGACAAAGAAAAAAGAGTAATGAAGATGTTTTAAAGAAACTGACACATGAAGAGAGCTGATTGCCCGCATCAGAAAGAGACAATCATGTCATGAGAAGGAGAAATCTGGGGTATATTGTGACAATTGGAGAGTTGAAGGGGAAAAGAAGCAGAGGTTCTTGATTCTCTGGATTGGTTTAATTCTCTCTCATAGTTCTGCATTGGAGATTCTATTTTATGATGTGATTTCTTATATTTTGTATGGCACCATGTGATGAATTTTCTTAAAGTCCATGCCATGTGGCATTGGTAGTCATGTCTATCCACAACCTTTTGTCTCATGTACTTTCAGTCAACTCTTCTTCTTCTTCTTCTGACACAGATGATCCTCCATGCCAAGATGTCAAACTGTCCAGCATCTTTTCTCTCAGTCTCCCTCTGCCTTTCCTTCCCTCCATCTTTCGCACTGTCACAATGTACTCCACTTTTCTCCTTCTCATCATATGATCAAAGAATGTAGACTGTCTCTTTTTAATGTGGGCAATCAATTTTCTTCATGAGTCAGTTTCTTTCAAGACATCTTTATTACTCTTTTGATCTGTTACAAGTTTATTTATAATTATTTACCCTTTCTTCAAATACTATTCCATACAGCAGCACTGATTTGATCTTAACATTAAATATTCTGTTAGGTACTATTTTTTTTTCCCATAGACTTCCATTGATTTTCTAGTCTTAGGAAAGCGCCTATTCATCATCATCTGTGCCTTGCCAGTTGGCGTAGGCACTCATGCATCTCCACAGATCACGATCCCTGGTTGCCTGAAACAGCTCTCTTGATGATATACCTCCATGCCATCGGTTTCAGCCCATCCAGCATCATCTCTCTTGGTCTGCCTCTACCCCGCTCTCCACTGATCTTTCCAGTTGTCACGATGTTTTCCAATGCCTCTCTTCTAATTATGTGGCCAAAGAACAGTGTTTGTCTCCTTCTTATTGTTGTATATAGAGATCTACTTCCGTTAGCTTCTTTCAAACAATTGTTGTTAGTTACTCTGGCAGTCCAAGGTATTTGTAACATTTGTCTCAGAAACCACATCTCTATTGCTTCCAAATTCTTCTTAATTTGTTCACTGGCATTCCAAGATTCACTGCCATACAGCAGAACAGGTTATATATACCATTTGAGCACTCTGTTTCTGACATTAAATTAGAGCGACTTATTGCATAAGATATTTTTCATTTTCTGAAATGCTGCCTTAGCCTCACCTAGTCTGCTTTTAATCTCTGTTACAAATTTTCCATCTGATGATATGATTGTTCCCAGATATTAAAATTTATTGACTTGTGAATAAAGAAAGAAGCACCGATTGCCTATAATTTTTATCTTAACAGGTGACATCTTCAGTTGCCAGGCCATTGATAACCCAGATATGGAGTCTGAAATGGCCATGTTGCGTCAGTATGGTCCCAATGTGTCTGATGTCACTCTGAAACGCCTGGTCTCAGCATTTTCTGACTTGAGGGAGATGGCCGACCAGGGTTTGATCAGTTACCCATACTCTACCAGGGAAGTTGTCAACATGGTCAGACATTTACAGGTAGGAAACCTTTGCTTGTTTAATAAATGTTAATTTTGACATGATAAACATGTATAACAATTTATTGTGTAACATATTTTATGCTTCTCATTAAATTCATACTACAGAATTTTCATCAGCATACAATGATTCTTCTTCCCCATGTAGGACACATTTTTCTTTATTTTGAAGCCCCGCCCTGGTTGTTGCCGGGGGCCCTAATTTAACCTAACAGTTGAGCAGGGTTTCTCGATTCTCTTCGTGAGTGATCCTTATTCAAATGCTAGCACTTTGTGTCGCCAGGTGTTTATCACTCAGTGTGATGTCCTGGTGGGGTAAAAAGTCAGTCAGTCAGTCCATCAACATACAATGAAGCAAACACAAGTTAATCCTTTTAACTGAAGTCACATGGTTGATTGTTTCCTTGGGACATTTTGTCATAGAAGTATTGGGCTAACCCAATGTTCCTTTTGCTTGCATGCTGTAGTATGCACCTGTAGTCGTCATCATGTAGCAGGTCTTTTGCAGAATGTGGCTCACGTCACAGCCTGCCTGAAAGAAGCTCGGCCCCTCGCCAGCTCTCCTGCCTAGTGCATTTTCCTGCCTAAGGTGTTTTCTATTACCATGCCTTCTCCAACTGTTCTTTCCAAGCCACTGTAATATAGTCTAAGTATTACATTTACAAGAGTAAATATCTACAAGCCATTGTTTTAAAGTAGTGTTCATTCTTTAATAAATTCATTTTTTTTCTTTCTTTGTTCATGGCATTCTAAGAATCTTTTTATAGCATTTTAGCTAAGAAATCCCATTTTATTTTTATTGATTGTGAGATAGTCCATGACTTACATCTGTATTTTGCTACAGAGAAGTTCACTCGCTGCCAAATGGCCCTCATAACATCTAGCTTGTCATACATCAATTCATCAAGTGGTGCACAACTGCCCAGTCTATCTGCTTGCTCATTTCCCAACACACTGGCATGACCTGGAGAAAATATCCAAAGGATGCTAACTACCCTGGACAACATCATGAGGAGCATCATGATTATCATCCTGTTGTGCTGTTTAGGACACATAGAGCTTGTGCTTGATTTAGGCAGCCCTTTTGATTTTATATACTGAATCCAGAGTGGCTCCTCTAGCCTCTCACACCAATGACGTTGTAAAATTTCTGTAGAACTTCTCACCTTCTCTGTAAGTTTGTTGTCTTTTTTTGTGTGTGATTCTTGGTCAGTTGCATCCCAGAATATGCCCACTTTATTTGTCATTTTCTTTGTCCTATAAGTGTACGAGCAGTTGTCCAGGCATTTTTCTGATTTCATTTAAAAAAAATTGTTTCAATTTATTTTTTTTGTGTGAAATCAAGACATTTAATGTTCTTCAATTTTTTGTGGGCATATGTTTTCAAATGCATGTACATTTATTTCAGTTTGTTTAAATGTTCTCCAGTTTTGACTGGCATCATGGAGAAGTATACCAGCCTGGTTTTTTTTTTTTTTTTTTTGGGGTATAAATCGAAACAGTTGTTGACTCCATGAGATAAACTAGTTAGAGGCAGATGCCGTAGCCTCTGGTCTGCTTCCAGTAACAGGGAGTTTCCATGGTAAAGTGGTTAAAATATTTGCCTCACACTTTAAAGGTAGGGGGATCATGTCACAGACTGTATCTTTTGATTCACAAGTGATATACAGAAATCCTTTAGATCTTCACTTGGGCTACAGTGTTCATACTTTCTGTGACACTCTCTGCAGGTGGCTAGCCATTCTGCAGAGAGAGACTAAACCATATAGGATAAACATGTCACAGGTGATGGGGATCCTCGTTTGACCTTTCTATAAAAACTAATTTTCATTTAAAAATGCTGATATAAACGAATCATTGCACAATTTATTGCCGGGCATATTTCGCTGCATCTCATTAGGTGCATTCCTGAAATTATATCAGTGTACAATAACGCATACAAATGAATAAACTCAACCGAAATTTAAAAAAAAGGTCTCTTGCAATCCATTATTGTGAACTCATTGGAATTCATCTGATTTACCAGGATAACTTCAAATCAAAAGGTAACTTTCTGCCTCCATAAGAAAGGATTACACTTGTTTATAACTAAACCTTTGGCCAGTTTCAAAATGTGTCTGTTAGGTGTGTGGTAAATGACAGGGAAAGCACTGTGCTTGTCAGTTACATGTCCAGATTTTACATTAAACAAATTATTTGTTTCCAGCTGTTTCCCAATGAAGGCCTCACTACCGTTGTTAAGAATGTGTTTGACTTTGACTTCTACAACAAAGAACTGCAAGAAACAATTGTCGAGACAATGCAGAAACATGGCATCCCAGTTGGAGCCTCACAGGCTTCTGTATCTTTGGCTAAAGAGTAAGCGAGGGATGCCCATACTTGTTTGCTTGTGTTGTCCTTTGTTTGGAAAGCTGTGGTAATTAGCCAGCAACACACCTGTTCTTGTATGTACTTATGTGTATTCTGTTTTGTTTGTTTGTTTGTTTGTTTAACATATGATGGCAAAAGGAAAAAATAGACATAAAAAGGTCGATTGGAATAACAACAAAATATTGTCAGCTAAAAAAATTTACATGTTGATATATATATATATATATACATATATATATATATATATATATATATATATATATATATTTAATTAAAAGGCAGTAACTCAGTTCCACAAAAGTTTAACATACAAATGCCTTCAGTACTGATTCTTCTTTTCTCATCAGATTTATTATAAATGAATCACACGAAACTAGAAATGCATGGCAACTTGTTATTTCAGTAAAGGTCATTTTATTAACTAAATATCTGATTATTTGATTTATTTGGAGACATCTTGGGGAATGATTATATCAGATTAAACAAGTTTACTTCAATCAGTGTTGCTTGTTTGTGTACTTTCTTGTATAGTGGACAATGTATAAGGTATACTTGGTGTGTTTTATGTGACTGAGTTTATGTGTCAGATAACAAGCTGAATGAATATGTCTCAAAAGAAACGCAGTTTAATTCAGTTCAATATTTGCCATGACCACTTTCAGCTAGGGTCAGAAAAGATTGCTGCTGTCTGCTATATTTGTGGTTACTAGTCTGGCTTTTATCAAATCAGGTTATCCTTTGTGTTTGTTAGTTTCCTATCAACGTTGTTTGTTATGGCGTCTTCTCATTGGGTTTCTCTCGAATCTGGCCGTTATTGCTCTTCGCTCTGGTTCCTAGGCTTGGCTGCTCTGATGACATGGCGGGTTATGGTGGGTTTGTTTGGCTGGCTGGTGCATTCAAGGAGGGGATAACTATTTGCCCTAAAAAGGACTGGCAGTTTGGTGCCTGTGTCTGGTTATGAGTGGGATTTGGTGCTGCTCTAGTGGGTCTCTTCTGTCTTGACTGTCTGGTGCTGTTCATGCATTATGTTCCAGGTGGGTTGGTGCTGGCATCATTTTTTCTGACGTTATTTTCTGTGGTTTTGCTGCTTGCCGTGTTTTCCGCCGAGTTTTGGTCTCTAATTCGGTGTTTGAATCGGTTCGTCTGGGGACCATTTCATATCATCTGCTGGCAGGCTTGAGTTGAAGTAGTCTGTTTCAGGTAGGCCTGTAACTGATGGGTAGATCTCGTTCACTAAGACACTTTTGGCTGCTTCTAGTTAAGAGTGGAGTGCCTTTGAGCACTCGAAGGCCCGCAGTGTTTCCTCGTCGGATAAATGCCATGGTGTTTTGACCTCTTCTGATGCCTGTGCTTTATGTCTGGCATCCCTTGCTTCCCGTAGGGCCTCTACCCTGTCTGTTTCTTTGTGGTCTTCTTCTCTTGCGTAGATCACCTTTATTGTAGCTTGCAGCTCGTTGCTCAACTTGGCATTTTCTTCTTCAGCTTTACGTAACTTTGCTTCTGTTTTTGTTGGCGTTGTCTTGATCAAGGTGACTACAGCAAGGAGTTTCTGCTGAGTTTCTCTCATTTCTTGCATTTCTGTCTCCCTTTCTTCAGTTGTCTGCCCCTTCATGGTCTTTATGATGCTCACGATGGTCAGGATGTCAGCCTTGAAGTTCGCCAAATTTGTGCCTTCTGCTTCCAATCATTCCTGAGATTCAAGGGACGCCTGCATCATGCTTCCTGGATCTGGGCTTTGGTGGCTGACTTTTCTTCTCGAAGTGCCTGGATCTTACTCTTTAGGCAGGCGATTTCGTTTTCAGGTTTGGAGGAGACTGCTGTTGATACACTTTTGGGTTCCTCGTGTCTCCTGCGGGCCTCTTGGTAAGGGATGTTTTCCTGACAGCAGTGGTTGTGATCTCTCTGGTTTGCTGGAGATAGGGGCATTGTAGGGATCTGACACAGTGTTGGCCAGAATAGTTGGCACATTTCCTATTGGCATTGGCTTTTCGGAAGTCTTGGTCTAGTTTCACCAGGGGGCAGTCTCCCTGCCATTCTTGATTTCAGTGATCAGGTTCGACGTGCGGTTGGTTCTGTTCAGAGTGGCAATCACACCGTCCCTTGTTTTCTTGATTTGTGCCACCGCATGCTTACCGAGTCAGTTTTCTAATATATTCACCAGCAACAGTGTGGTCAAGGCAGTGAGCTCTTTTCAGCCCGGGCTGGTAAGCCAGATGAATAGAGTGGCTGGGAAGTCAAGGCTGCCTGTCTTCTGTCTCTCCGGTGAGATTGATTGCTCTGGCAAGGCTGGTGTAGGGTTCTGGTGAAGTCAGCATGGCTGGTTCGGGAGAAGCTGGCACGTCACTTAGGGTCTCAGCAGTGGTCCGGGTGACAGACTTCTTTGCTCTACCAGTGGCTGCTCTCGTTTCCATGGTGGCTTGGGCAGATCAGGTGGTGTGGCTGCTGGACTGCCTCTGCTGGCTGGCCCTTTTCCCGCTTGGTCTGCTGTCTCATGACATGATGATGATGAGGTGCTGTAGCCAGCTGGCTGTAGACTGATATTTGGTGGCTTTTAGGTGACTAGCACTAGCTTGGTCTCTGCCACAGTTACAAGCCTGGTTAGAGTTCTGAAAAGTACTCCCATGGTGCTCCCGGACACAGTCTCCAAGGCTAAAGCTATCGGACAATGGACTTTACAAAAAATGCTTTTTTCCAACAGCCGATGCGATAACCAGTCAAGACAGATTACAGCCGTTTAAAACAAGCAAATCAATGTTAAGATAAGACTATCGACAATCAGACAGATCGAGCGTTTTAAGCGAGTCGAGGTGGCCTGCAAACTGTTTGGCAGTCAAAAGAAATTCATTGTTATTTATATGTCACATAGGGCTTGCAGTTGTTCCTCCATTCCATTCTGTTCTGTGCAGTAACTTGGATATCATGAATGGAATCTCTGATCCAGCACCTTTATCTTCTCTCATCAGTGTTCATTTTAGGGTGTCTCTTGGACGTCCTTATCTCCTCTGTCACTCAGTTTCACATTTCAGTGTCTGTTTAATAATTCTCTGTTCATTTCTTTTCAGGATGTGTCTAATGTAGTGCCATCTTCTGTCTTGTAACTGTTGATACGAAAGAAATCAACTCGTAGTCAAAACTGATGATTAGTGGAGACAATAGAGAAAATGTTAGTTAAACAGATTGACATAACATTAATTGAGGATACTGGTATAAAATAAATTGGCAGTGTGAAAACTGAAGGATTAGGACAGTCATTATAAAGAGGTGTGGATTTCAGGAGGAAGAGGTGATTTGGAGAATTTTCACAACCATTACTCTCCGTGTGAGTTACAGACCTCATAGAATGGAGGGGGGGGGGGGGGGGGCAAGACCCATCCTCTTCCAACAAGCATGTTGTAAAAGTGGACTAATTAGGCGTGTTTCCTTTGAAGTCGTGTATCTGCTTGAAAGGTGCGGAACCAACAGTCTGCCTACAAATAAACAAGATCTGTAAAATAGATGTGCAAGCAAAACTCAAATTCTTCTAAAGCAAGAAACAAGTCCAGAAGTGGAAGAACAACTAGAACTGTCTGCCAGAGTTTACAGCCAGTGAATGCTAAGAAGAACGAACGAACGAATGAACAACCTTTATTTTTAAAGGGTCACAAATCGGGCACGCAGGCCTGTCTTACATTCAGCCCTTCCAAACACTCGTCTTTCACACTGCAGCTGTATTTTCAGAAGAAGGAAGATGAAGAACTACAGCTTTAGTTCCAGTAAAGTTAAAGACCAGGATTCTTTGCCACTATTGTATTAGACAGACATATGGTGGTAGGCATCTGCTGCTGGCAGTAGCATCAGGGAGCAGAGTACTCACTTACCCTGGCAGTCTAAATTATCCTGAAGGTTGAGGTGCTCTGCCATGGAGATGTGGAAGACAAGGATAGACTACCACGTTATAATATGTGTTCCTTGAAACTCTAAATGGAAGCTGAAAGGGATGGGGGGACCCATAGAGGGCTGTAGAATTGGTTAGAGACTGAGAGACCCTAAGGTGTGCTATAAAGAGAGTGACATTCTGTAAGAACCTGCTGATTGATGATGATAGTGCTAGGCCCATATCTTTAGATCAAAAAGCCAGTCAATGGGTGAGATGATGATAGTGCCAGGCCCATATCTTTAGACCAAAAAGCCACTCACTGGGTGAGATGATGATAGTGCCAGGCCCATATCTTTAGACCAAAAAGCCACTCACTGGGTGAGATGATGATAGTGCCAGGCCCATATCTTTAGACCAAAAAGCCACTCACTGGGTGAGATGATGATAGTGCCAGGCCCATATCTTTAGACCAAAAAAGCCACTCACTGGGTGAGATGATGATAGTGCCAGGCCCATATCTTTAGACCAAAAAGCCACTCACTGGGTGAGATAATGATAGTGCCAGGCCCATATCTTTAGACCAAAAAGCCACTCACTGGGTGAGATGATGATAGTGCCAGGCCCATATCTTTAGACCAAAAAGCCACTCACTGGGTGAGATGATGATAGTGCCAGGCCCATATCTTTAGACCAAAAAACCACTCACTGGGTGAGATGATGATAGTGCCAGGCCCATATCTTTAGACCAAAAAGCCACTCACTGGGTGAGATGATGATAGTGCCAGGCCCATATCTTTAGACCAAAAAACCACTCACTGGGTGAGATGATGATAGTGCCAGGCCCATATCTTTAGACCAAAAAACCACTCACTGGGTGAGATGATGATAGTGCCAGGCCCATATCTTTAGACCAAAAAGCCACTCACTGGGTGAGATGATGATAGTGCCAGGCCCATATCTTTAGACCAAAAAGCCACTCACTGGTTGAGATGAGTATCAGTCTCATGCCAGCCACCTTTTCTTCTCGGACAATGAAATGATGATGTGTCAGCTATAGAGCCCTGGGGTCCCATAAAGAGATACCCTTGATGGGGATTTGAACCACCAGCCACTGATCTACTTCAACTTTCAT